ATCGAGACTGCGTCTTCTGTGCGGTATATTTTGTCAAGCTGCGGTACGATTGCACAGCTCCCTGCATCAGTCAAATCTCAGGGACACATATGACGGGTTCAAAGCCTTCTTGGCTCACCTTGCCACGGCCCACTTCCGAGCCAGACCTTGGCACCTTAGGTTCTGAGCTTCTTGGGCTGCCACCCAACTTGGCCAACCCACAGCCAAACCCACGTACCCCGTAACTTAGTACTTCGTACTCGGTAGCTCAGTCCGTCCTTTGTGGTGACGTCCATTTGGCTCATACCGTCGACGCCAGATTGCTATTTCTCCACAGCAAATCCAAGCTTTGCGCTTTCTAGATTGACGCCGGCAACTGGGTGATGGTGCTTTTGCCGCCTGCTCGCCGCCCATCTATATTGTGTCTGCTGGCCCGCATCTTGGAGGCCAGACTTGGGGTTCTCTCGTTGGTGCCTACAGCCGCACGTCGTAACGCCTGTGAGTACTTCATTACAACACATGTTTGCTATTGTTGGCCCAACATCAAACCCGGTCTTGAGAGTCTCCCTGGCTTACACGTCCATGCTCAGGCCCAGACAGGAGCATTGTGGCCAAGCAGTGTCCAACTGACCTGCACCACGACACACTACCACCACCCACATCAGCCAACCGCCCGCCTTGCACTTGTTTCATCACCACTCCCACTCCCATAGCTTCCGCGCGCCAAACATCTCATGCTCCTCCTGCTCTTGCCTCCAACTATCGCTCGCGCTCTCGGCGTCGCACGCTTTTGCTTCCTCATGTCTCTGACGACTCCATCAGACCCTCCTCGACCACTCGTTCGACCGTAGACGGTTTCGCCCAATCCGTTTGAAACTCTTGCAGCGTTACAGGCCTGTTAAATTTGAGTTCTCGATCACCTCGAGTCAAATTGACCGCTTACACTTGCCGTCGCAAGGACAAGACGAAGTCGCGACGTCGCTACAGTCAACTATACTCCCCGTCATCAAGAACCCCGTTTTCATTATATTTTCTAGTGTCCAACAACTCACCATTCACGTTGTCGCTGTCGCTCGCCGTGACGGAATCGCTTCGCCTCGGTCGCCCGCCAATTCGGCGTTGAGCTGCCGAAGTTAGACTCGAGCACTCTACTGACGCAGTTGCACAACTGTATTGACTCAACCTACTTTCGCCATAGCTCTTTGTTGTTCACTGAGCGCTCTCTCTATCACCATGGCCTCGCCGATACCGACTACGAACCAAGCGAACTCGTCGCACCACCCTTCACCACCAGGGGCCACACCTGCTTCGCCGCCCAACAAGCGCGACTTGAAATCATGGTGGAAAGGTTTCAAGTTGCCATCTAAACAGCAAGATCCTCCAGGTACGATTTTTTTGAGGTTTTTTTTCTTTTCCTTCCCCCCGAGCCATGTCATGGAATGCGTATTTCCTGGCTTGTTGCCTCTTTGACTTTCGTTGCGCAGTCGTCCATCATCTTTGTGGTGGCCTGACCATCAGGCTGGACATGGCAGCGAAGTTTTTGACAGCCACGCTATTCTGAAGTGGCTCCTACCCTGCCTAAAATCACATCTTTTCCACTCTTCTTTCTTGTGTCTTGTAGAGGTCTAATATATTACGCACCAGAAAGCAAAGCACCTGGCATCTTTGGTATTCCGCTGCGGCAGAGCATCACATACGCCAATGTTGCTATATCCCTTATTGACGAAAATGGGAAGAGCTACATCTATGGATATGTGCCTATAGTGGTTGCCAAGTGCGGCGTATTTTTGAAAGAAAAAGGTATGTTTGGAAGCCTAAACTTGGTCAAAAAGGAATGCCACTGAATACTCTTGTAGCCACCGGAGTTGAGGGTATTTTCCGATTGAGCGGCTCTGAGAAACGAATCAAGGAACTTAAGCACATCTTCGACTCGCCGGACAGATATGGCAAAGGTCTTGTTTGGGATGGATATACTGTCCATGATGCCGCCAACGTTCTCCGCCGTTATCTGAACGATTTGCCTGAACCCGTAGTGCCTTTAGCGCTGTATGAGAAATTTCGTGACCCTTTGCGCGGGGCCACCAAACAGCCAACTTCAGATGGCGAGGGACCACAGTTTGTCGACAACTTTGACGAACAAGCCGCAATCAAGAAATATCAGCAACTCATCACAGAGCTGCCGCCTTTGAATCGACAGCTCCTACTATATATCCTAGACCTACTGGCGGTCTTCGCCGCAAAGTCTGATGAAAATCGAATGAACTCGCAGAATCTGGCCGCCATTTTCCAACCTGGCATGCTTTCACACCCGAATCACGCAATGGCCCCAGAAGAATATCGCCTCAATCAATGCGTTTTGATCTTTTTGATTGAGAATCAAGATCATTTCCTCATTGGCATGCAAGGCACCGCTGCTGATGAAAACACAAAGAAGGAAGTAGAATCAGGGACTCCTACTACACCAAATGCTGCGGGGGTCAATAGGTCTGCATCTACTGCAAGCGCTGGTGCCAACAGTGTTCGCAAGGAAGGCCAGTTGCGCCGTAACCGGTCTGTGTCTTCACGACACTCGAGAGGAGAGGGCAGTGTTGGCTCCCACAGCCCATCCCTCGCCACGAGTACCACAGGGGGGCTTGGTCGGAGCAATACAGTACCCTCGAAGAAATCTCCAGGCTTGGCAGGGGGGAAGTTCAGGAAAGCTGACAGCCCCGGCCACCAATCTCCAGCCCGCCTCGAACCTATGACTCCTGTGAGACCAGTCATGGCTTTTCATGAATCACAGGAGCGAAGTCTAACTCCCCCAGTGGTGGGGATTACACATCTATCTACTAGCACTGCTCAGGCCTTACCCCCAAGCCAGGAAAGGCTGTTGGAGGTTCCCCAGGATTCTCTACAACCCCCTGTCAAGGAGCGAAACCTCCAAAACTTATTCCAGCGATCAGCAGACGGCAGCGACAAACGTCAACCAAACAAGCTGAAGAAGAAAAGGATTCCAGGCAGTATGAACATCAGCGCCCAAAGCTCCAGTGCTTCCCTGACACATTCAAACGCGGCCTCGCCAGCTTGGGAATCGCCAAATCCTATGGAAACGATTCAGCATGTCTCTGAGAATGTAACTTCGGATCCAGCGAAGCCATCGCCCGGAGGAACATCCACAAAAACACCTCAGGCGGGGGGAACTCAGAATCCTATCAACTCTAGCGAACCCCAGGTAACACAATCCAAGCCGTCGTTGCCAAATCAACCAAGTGATATGTCTTCCGAACCGACGCCACGAGCATCTCAAATTGCCTCGAGCAGTAGTTTACACCCTGATGATAACTTCACCGGCAAGAAGTCGCCGCCAACATCGATTCACTCGTCTTTCAATGATGGTTCTGACCTAGATCAGGCCCTCGAGGGCCAGACTGCTCCACAGATTGAGAATCCCGACAAAGAGAAAAAGCGTCGGTGGAGACTGTCAAGGACCAGAAAAGACGACAATGACGGCTCTTCTGGGTCCTTGGTGACTCCATCACCTGGAAACCTGGGATCTAACACTGGCGCCGAAACGAGCACAACGACCGTTGGCAGCGGAGGTAGCAAAACTCGCAAGAGCTTCCAACACGATGGATCAGAATCGCATCTCTTCGATTTGCACGGTGGGCATGATGGTGAGAGGGAGAACGGAAAAGATGACCCAAAAGGCCCCATCGGTTGGATAAAAAGCAAATATCGCGAGGCCAAGGAGAACGCTGAACAACGACGAAATAAGTCACCGCCAGCAGACCGGCATGGAGATCGACAGGCGCTTGGTGCAGCCCTGGCCTCCCGTGGGAAGAGTCTGGACATGAACAGAGAGAAACAGGAGGACGACAAAGTAGTAGAAAAGCCCGCCGAGAAGCCTGCCGAGAAGCCTGCCGAGAAGCCTACCGAGAAGCCTGCTGAGAATTCTGCTGAGAATTCTGCGGAGAAGGAAGCTCTTGAACCAATGGCCGCCGCACCTATGCACCACGACAATCCTAAGTTGATTGAGGAACTCAGGCCATCAATTACAACTGTACCCCTAGAATCTGTTCCGGAGGTGCCTAAGGAAACGCCAACAGAACAGATCAACACTATGACTGAAATGCCGCCGGCAGAGTTAGCAGAGAGCAAGGCTGACCAACCCGAAATAGAAGCTCCGTTTGCGCCAGTCCCTGTGCTGCCTACTACAGGAGAAACGGTATCTGCTGAGACACCTGCTGAACTCCCCAAACAGGCATAATTCTGCTCTATCCCGCTATCTTGAATGAAATTATGCGATATTAACATGGCGTTCTTGGATATGGCGATGAGCATAATTGCTTTGTGCTCTATGCTTCTCTATGCTTGATTGTTGGATCTACACGCCTTTTAGTACTATTTTGTTTACGAAGGTTGTTTTCTAGTCCTGGCGTTTGAGGTTTACTCAGCAATCATCGGCCTCTGTTGATACTATTATTTTTTTTTTTTTTTTTAAAAAAATCTTCCTACTTGACCGCCTGGTTTGGCCAGCGTACGCCATTCCTTTTCCACTTCACTCACAATGCAACAACACAAGACAACACAGTCACACATGTTAACAGTATTCTACACAGCCCGGAGCCGACTTTACGGGTCCGTAGTCGTTTGATCACTAGGCTGGATGCAGAGGATGATATTAAGATGATGACATTTTCATGTAACGTACCGGAAATCAAAGAGTTGGAGGTTTCCGTTTATGTCTGGTTTCATTTAGTGGTTTTATTTGCGACCCCCCTTTTCCCCCTGCGTCCACAACACCTGTTCATTTCGTGAGCGAAGGAAGGGACAAGGAAGAGCTGGCTTGTTTTTTACATGGATGTGAATAGAGCCGCCTCTCTACCAATGATATCCCAGGATAGTTTTGCTACCCTTTTATTGTGTTCCAAGTCGAAAATATATATACTATATATTACGTACTGCATCTCTCTTTGTAAATGTGTTTCTGGATACTAAAGGGTCCATCTGACTATGCATGGTCTGAAATTTGAAGTAATACGTTAAGACTGATGTTTGTCAGGTGGAGCATCAAGATATACGCCGGTATCCCAAACTAGCATCCGGCCCGACCTTCGCCAGTCTTCGTTAAAGAAACCGTTAAATCCACCCCAGACACGGCGAGGCTTGATACCAAGTGCCTTGCCGGCTGGAGTGTCTAGAAACGTAAGCAACCAAGGTTCGATTCCCTCGAACCCGACAATATAGCGAGGGATGTCAATTTTACGCTGTGGTCCAAACAGCTCACTAGTTAGAAAGCCTATAGGGTCATCATAGAATCTATCTGCCTCATCGCGGTAGTTGTCCCTCGCAGGTGTATTGGGCTGAGTATCCAGCGGCGGCTCACAAGTCAGCGCGTACGCATCCAAGCCAGGGTAATATAGGTGGGATCGCCACGGCGTAGAATGACATGGCATGAGAAACAAGGCGAATAGTTCATCGCGAGGCGTCGGAGGTTGGTGGGTTTTGTGGGCGAGTCGAACAGATGTCGGGTGGACGCGTTCGTATTCTTTCCGGAGGTACGATAGGACGTTTAGCGGGGCTGGTTGGTGAAGGAAGGATAGGTAGCCGGCAAGAATGAGATTGACACCGAGAGCAGCTATAAGATAGGGCTTGTTGCGAAGACGGGGACGGCAAGTGACTGCTTTGGACGATGGCGGCGAGGTGAAGAAGGAGGCGGCCCATGGAGCGGCCACGATATTCAGTATGGGGAGGAGAGGGTAGATGAAGCGGACTTCTTTATGTGAGATGAGGGATAGGGCAGCGACTGTCGTGAAGACCGTAGAGGACAAGACACGCAGAGTGTTTCTCTCGTTTGTTGATAAAGAGCCTGGTTTGTATAGGCCCCAGAGGACGAATGGTAAGCTGGTAGTACAGAGGAGGGGGATGCCCTGAGACAGATAGTAGTGCCAGGGGTTTCGACCGTAGAAGACAGCTAGCGATTTCGAAATGTTGAAGTTGAGCCAGTTGTAAGGGGGAAAGGTCCAGAACCCAAAGTAGAAGTAGTCAGACGCGACAGATATGCCGAGTATCAATGAACCGCACAGGAAAGCCTCCCTAGCAAGAACCAGGATCATGGACCAGGTCAAGGGAGATGGGCCCCTCAGAGACGCTCTGGTCAAGGCCATGAGTGAAAGGGTGGCCCAAATGAGAATATTTGTAGGCCGGAGCACCACGGCAAACGCAGCTAAACAGAGGGATAATCGAAGACCCCATATGTTTCCAAGAGTGTCGGCTGGCTTAGGGTTCTCTTTTGTCGAGACGGCCGCACTAAATATTCGCCACGGCCAGTAATATAGGGCCATAACAGTAAGGGTTGTTTCCAAAGAATTGGAAAAGGTGCGGGTAGAGCAGTACCACTGCCAGGCACTGAAAAGCTGGAGAAAGAGCTAAAGTTGTGTCAGACAGATTTACGAGCACGGGACCGTCACATGGCAGTTGTGAGGACGTACTGCAAAGAAGGAAGCGTTGCTGTCTGGGCCAAAGATGTTGACAGCGAGTTGCCAAGTATACCAGTCACCTAGGCCAGCAACCACGGCCTGCAGTACCTTTGGTGAGCCAACTACAATCGCAGATCGCAGCATATTGCCTGCTGGGATGAGTTTCGATATCCCATCCGCAACAAGGTAGCTTCCTGAGAAAATGGCCGGGTGAAGTGAGGATCTCAGTTGATGTTGCCATTCCTACATTGCGCCATGTTAGTAACTAGGAAAATGATACGACAGCAGGGGAATGGTGACGGGGAAGCTGACCCAGGTCAGCCATGCACCACTATTGGGACCAAAAGCCAAACGCCATGCCGGCTCAAGAGACTGGAAGTATTCATCCGGCTGAAAGAAGGTAGCAATCCACCATGCATTAATCAGACGAATAATTATTATATCCCGGAGGAAGTTGGGGCGGTTGCGCTCATTGCGGCGAATATGAGCGGGAGATATAGCCATGGCTGGCTCGTTGAAGCCTACACACCAGCCAGCTTGCTCAAGATGTGTATATCCTTTTGCAAAGGGGGCTTGTGGTGAGACGCGGGACAAGACGCGGGACCACGCCAAGGGAGGGAACCATTGATCGCGCGATCACGGGGCTGCGAGCGTCGCTTCTGGATATGAGATTGCCGAGCTAGGCTAATGCCGGCAAGTTCTGGAATTCCCGGGTTGCTCTTCGATATCGATGCGTAGATCCGGGAGACGAGGTGCGTCTGGCTGGGTCGAATTGCACGTGTGGAGGAGGCCAATCATCAACCACCTGCACCACCCCGGCTGGTCCTGGTTGGCTGACTGACTGACTGATGTCAGCAGACACCGGGTGTCGGCGGGGGGGGCGCCCCCCCCCCGGGGCGGCGTCGCGGGGGG